GTTAGGAGTGGAGCAGCAGAATTCCTGGGTGTCACTGCTCTGGAATTGGTCCTGAGACAGGCTTTAAAGGGAAGCTTTGAGATTCAGAAGAAAATGCAGGTAGTGAAATACACTGAGATACACTTGCCAGCACCTTAAAAGTACAATTTACTCGATTTTGAAGAGCACGGTAACATATGCAGTGAGCCCTTTGTGAAAAATCTTGCATTTATTCCATTTTCCATGAGCCAGGCATCCCAGTGTCACTTAATACAGCGATCTGAGGATATAGTATTTACAGACATAATGTTTCTGTGTGGGTTTGTTATTAAAAGGTGGTAAAGCCTATGCGTGCAGCCATTACAAAAGTTGGTGATAAAGACCTAGGTACCAAACCCATACTTAGAATAAACAAATGCATTTCAGCTTTTTCATGCATCAGTTTGTCCTTGCTGCAAAGATCATGAATTGTTTACGAATATCTGCTCCTGTGATGTAAACTGCAGTTTAGCTAATGTGAAACAGTTTATTTGGCTGAAGATAACTTTGAAAGCAGAGTTTAATGTAGTTTAATTGCTCTTAGTGTTAGAGGGGGAGAAGACAATCCTCTTTATGTTGAAAAAAAGAAAAAGGAAAATATTTGCTTAAGCAATTTGTCACATCAGTGTTGGATCTTGATGGTTGAGTCTTTACCCAGACTGCTGCTTAAATTAGGAGAACGTTGTCCAAGCAAAGTACAACTTTATCTTAATGTTCAGGTAGAAGGAAACATGCCTGTTTCAGACATCTATGTTGAAAAATTGTTCTTACAATGTTGATCTGTTGGCATTATCTGTTGGCATGTGTTAGTGCATGACACTGGCTTCTCTGGTTTTGAAAACACTCACCTGATACTAGGTGCAGAGCAGGCGTATGTAATGGTGGCCACCAAGGTGTAATAGCATGTTTTGATTTATAGGGACGCAGTGAGGAGGAGATTCAAGTAAGTCTTGTAGTAGAAGTTGGGTGAGTAGACCTGATGGCCTGCAAGAGGAGGCAGAGCACCATGGCTCCACTTTCTGGGTCTGCTTAGGAGTTCCAGAACCAAGTGGAATACTAAACATTGCATCTCCTAAAATAATTTTTTTTTAAGTTGAAGTTTGTTACCTGTGGTTTGTGTGTATTGTTGTTAGTTTAAACCTTCTACTAAATGACAATATAGTTGTTCCTTAAGTGCGAGTGCTGGTTACAAAGTTTGGAAGAGGCTGAGTTGGGGTTTGATTTTTGTGATGTATTCTTTGTATGAGTTGTTTCAGTGTTACAGAAAGTAAGCTCATGAGTGGATTTGGGGTAGAAACAGTTAATACTTGTTTCTGGAGCTGTTTATTCTTACAGAAAATTTAGAAAGAGCTACAAGTTTCTCTTTAGGATATTCTGCTTGATTGATAACGTATTAAAAAAAATGAAGCATTCTCTTCAGAGATTGGTAGAAAAAAGGGCCACCTGGAACAAAATTAGGGGCAGGGAAACTCGGACACATCGTAGCATGCAAAAAAAAGAAAAAAAAAGGAATCCTTCTGTTTGTAGGACTTCAAATTCTGCGGTAGAAGCCAGAGTGTGTTAAATCATTGTAGCCCAAGTGGGAATGAGGCTTTTTTCTCTCCACTGATATCTTTTTCCCCTTCCTTGTTCAAATTCTGGCAAGGAAGATGACTAGTATCTGCTGCAAAGTATTATTGAATTTGTGCTTTTCTGTATTTCTTGAAGGCAGCGGAAGCTTACCTGCTGCCACAGCTGGAGAAGAATTCACAATGCTCACGAAGAGGGTGGCTGCTTCAACAGACAGATGACTAGGACAGGGCACGGATGGGTGCAGAGGCAGGAACAGTGTATGGAGGGATGGTCTGTGCCAGGGGTGCTAGATTAGATCAGCGTTAGCCCTTGAAGCATGTTTTTTGGTCGGCAGGGAAACTTGGAGCAAGTTTTGGATATTGCAGCTATTTTACTCGGTTGTGGTTACTATGGTTATAGTTTGCTGTGGTTAAAAATGCGCTGCTCTGCTTGCTTTGCTTGGCTTTTTTGTAAAGGGCTTGTAACCAGTGTATCCTGGCTGTAGTGGCAGTGTGGGCCTTATTTGAAGGATTTTATTACTCCTATTAGTAGTAGTATGCCAGTTGCTTAACTTACCTGGTTTTTAACTTTCCTAAGCTTGCTGCTAGTGCGAGTGAAACGGCCAAATTAGCAATTGGAAAGCTCTTGGGTATTTGTGTTTGCTTTTTTTGTTTGTTTGTTTTTGTTTGTTTGTTTGTTTGTTTTTAAATAATCTCTTCTGCTAGCACAGCAGGTCTTGAAACATGCCCAGTGTTGACTGAAGTCTCCGCAGCGTTGTGCTCCCTTCCTGTGTGCGGCAGGAGAAACCCTATGGGCAGGACTGGCCCCTTCCCGTGCCTCCCCTGCCTTCTCTCTTCCCTTTCAGTTTTGGGTTTGCCCTTAGCAGTGAGCCATCCTGGCATGTAAGAAAGAATATGTAAATACGGATTTTGGAGAAGTCGTGCTGGTTCTGTCAGTGGCTGGCCAGAAGATGATAAAAATAAATGTAGCGTGCTGTCCCAGGCACAGATAAGGAGCAGGAGAGCACGGGGTGAAGTGTCTCTGCAGGAGCACTTAAAGGCTGGCCTTTTTCAACTTCCAGCCTTCTCTGGGGAAATACAGTGTGATATATTTATGTTTGGTGTCTTTTTTTTAATTTTAGTTTAGCTGAAGTTTCGTTTTTAAAATTTGTTTCTTCATTCGAGCAGCGCAGCGCTCCTGCAACAGGAACGTCAGCTCGGTAGCTGCAGAGGTTGGACATAAGGCATGGAAATAACATTGCAAGCAGGCACGTCAGAGTTGTGCAGAGTAGAAAAACTTTGCAAGTGCTCTCGGATTCTTGAATTGGGATTTCCCATGAAAGGCTTGAGTTTCTGACTTAGCTGGTTGTGTAAACAGCAAATAACTGTAAGTCTGGGCATCAGTGGCAGCTTCAAGCAGTGAGGTTAATCATGTATAATCATGTAGGGAGATGGTATCTGCCCTCTCTTTGAAGATTTCTTGACACTTTATCTTTTTTTTTCTCGAGTAGGCGGTTAGCAGGTAGCTTGACACAAGCTACTGTTGTCAGCGTTTAGTGTGGTTGCATCAATCTGAAAATCTTTTCCGTATAACCCAAACGCTTTTTCTTACGTGTTTATTCTCAGTCATACAGATAGAAATTGCTGTTTGTGGGATTTTAAATACAAGGATGCTAAATATCTTACCTGTTCCACAGAACTGTGAATTGCTTGATCTGATCTGCAGAACATTTCAGCATCAAAGTTATTTAAGGCTGAAGACCTGATCATCTTTCTCCACTCAGAAATGGACGCAGATTGTAGCATACAATGAGTTGTAGTTTCTATGTTGGGTGAAAAATCCAAATGCCAGTGATGTTGAGACGGGTCAGGGGCCTGATTACAACCTGTTGCATAGCTTTTATAGTAATCTGTGGTAGTGAAATGAAATATTTTGGTGTATCTGGCTTCACTAAGAGCATCTTGGTACCATTAGACAGAAAACCAGCACCAAGAGAGGCTTAGTAGATATTTGGATTTTCCTTTGACAGCAAGTAGAACTTTTCTGGGTGTTCCACTGTCTTTATCATCTCTAAATGCAGATGTTTCATGTGAGCAATTAGTGTTTTGGACGTTTGTGTTTTGGTGTGTGTTTTTTTTTTTTTTTTAAAAACCAAGCATGAAACCACTAAGTAGCTTTTTAAGGTCTCTCTAGACGTTTGTAGTAAAAACTGGTTGTAGGTACAGAGGTCTGCAGCAGAAACCCTTGGGTTTGTGTATTCCAGTTGTAGATGTAATGGTAATTGCATACTGCTTTCATTGGCGACCTGTTATAGTCTTATCTATGCAGAAAATTTGAATCATATTTATGAACAACGTAACGGCTATGGACAGGCATGAGCAACTTGTTGCAATTAGTATTCAGCTTGTAATGGATGACTAATGGAGTTGATAACCCCGTTTTCTTCTCCCTTCTCCTAAGCTGTGTGGACACAGGGAGCATAGATCTTTCTGGCATATTGAAAGGGCTGAATCGATCATGAATAGTCAGAGTATTCAGAGTATAAACTACTTTGAGATGTGCCAGGCCAGGAGGAAGAGGTTTTTGAGTTGTTAAGCTGAGAGGAGATGAGTGTTTGGACGAGGAATGCAGGACAGATGAAGGTACAAGTTTTTGTGAGACTATGTGAGGACCAGAAACCAAGATACTGGTTACATGCAAACTATTTAAATATATATAAGTCATAATTTGAAATGGAAGTAGTCTTTGAAAGACAGTTTGCTTGTGTACTTTGTCCAAGCACCATTGGGGACTGCAGACAATTGTGTGAAGCCGATGTGTCGGAGACTGGCACGGCCGTTCCCCCGTGGAAGCGTGAATGCCCGCTTGTCTTCTGTGCTCCTGCCAGTGAGCCTCGGTCACGGGCCTCGGGACAAAGTCATCTCAGTTACCTTCTCTTGTTCTTTGTTATTTGTGTGAGGTTTGCTGCTTCAGGGAACCAGAAGCTCATTTGAAAAATTAAATGGAAAGATATGAAGGAGACCTGTGTTTATCAGGAAGCTTATTTCTATCACTCTCTCTATTCCTTTTCTTAAAGCGTAGCCACGCTGTGTGGCTGGCAACTTCTTGAAAGCTGCTTTTTCACTATTGTGCCCCCAAATTGGCTGTGATTTCATGACATGGATGGAAGAAAGGGAGCATTATAATGTTAGATGAGGCTGAAAACTGATGATGAAACAGCAGTTTGGAGTATTTCTTAATTTGAAAATTTTTATCCTGTTTGGTATCAGTAGTAGTACTTCACATTGAGTAAGGACATCCATTTGGTTCTTTGTAAGCAAAGTATTCTTCCCTGGTTGCTGAAATAAATCTCTACAGTACTTTTGGCTTAAGTTATTTTTTCTATATAAAAATTGTCTATAGATAGATCTCTCTTTTTATTGTCGTTCTAGAAAACCTAGAATAAACTCTCAGTTGGTGGCACAACAAGTTGCCCAGCAATATGCAACTCCACCACCACCTAAGAAGGAGAAGAAGGAGAAAGTGGAAAAACAAGACAAAGAAAAACCTGACAAAGAGAAGGAAATTAGTCCAAGTGTTACAAAGAAGAACACTAACAAGAAGACTAAGTAAGTCTGAAGGATGCACTATTGAATGCAGAGCGATTTCTGTAGTACTGGGCATTGATTAATTGTGTGGTTAATCTAACATCATATTCTCCCTCTTCCCTCCAATTCTTACAGACCAAAGTCAGATATTGTGAAAGATCCTCCTAGTGAAGTGAACAGTATACAGTCTGGGAATACTACAACAAAGACCAGCGACTCAAATCACACTTCAAGGTAACTTTAGACTAAGTTTAGCTCTCAGTATCCGAGCACTGTGTTAAATAGCAGACACTGTTTTTCTGATGGACTGACAGAGACAGAGTGTTGTCTAATCCACAGGGTCTGCCAGTGTTAGTACGGTAAGACCGTCGGTGGCTAGAGCCTTCTCCATGTACAGGCACTCAAACGCTGCTGGTGAGGACAGGTTCAAGCGTTGGAAGTAATTTGTTCTATTGTCCACTCAGTTCTCGTTTCACTGTTGAAATAATCGTGTTGTCTATTGGGCAGTAACGCTTTTGGCTGTAAAACTGTGACGGAAAAAGGTTAACCAGCAATCGCAGTGGTCTTTGTCAAATTCTTCTCATCACTTGGTAGCTGTAACAAAAGTTACCTTTTTACTTCCTTCTCTGTAATTCTGTCACTGTAGTTGTCAAGCTGATTTTCCAAGTATCCAGGAGTTTCTTTTTGGGTCTGTTTGTGAAGTGGGTACTCGTTTTGAGACTTAGAATGCAGGAGACTTGATGCACTTGCCTAATGACATAATATTATGTTGATAGATTACATCAAATAATTGTTTTTACTCCTTGAAGGAGTCACTCTGTCTACTGCAGAGTCTTTTAGTCCATGTTTTGTGGCAAGCTTTTGTCATTCCTAATTAATCCTTAATAATATTAGGTCTAGCTGGATATTTTTAAGGGTTACATCATCTCCCTCAGTTCTTAAACTGTCTTTTTAAGTGTTTAGTGGAACTTATCTTGCAATTCACTGCCCGCAGGAGTGCTGTCAAGAGTCTTTTCAAAGGATCTGATTTTCACAGAGTCACAAGTTATCTGTTCAGGCTTTTTTCATGCCCAGATTCCTTAACTATTTTTTGGTCTTTTAAAGATGTCTGGATTTGTAAGAAATCCTGTTTGAACATCTTGGATACCACGCCTGTTTCTGACAAAATATCTGGGTTTATTCTGTGCCTTCCTGTGCGCTTTCTGATTGATTGTTTAGAAACACATTTCTTATTTGGCTGTAAATGTTTTTAGCTATAATCATGAAGCATCAGGGTGTTTAATTTTGCAAAATAATGTGAATGGGCCAATCCCTTTGCCTTCTATAGGAAGAAAAAATTGTATGCGTGTGCTGAAGAGATTGCCTGGTGGTTTCCATCTGTGCTTAATCAGCTCTTTGCACAGGGGAGACCTCTAAAACCTCCTGCAGAAATGGTTGGAGGGCTCGGTTCTAAAACTGACGCCGAGAATATGTTTGTGAGCAGGACTGTAGAGAAATCCTGCACCTCAGCCCTGCTTCCCCCCAGCCCTTCCACGTTTTATTGTCGTGGCAGTTAAAGACACATGGGCAGTTTCATTCAGGCTCTTGGTGCACGGCTTGTCTCAAAGGCTGCTGGTAGCAGGAGCTTTTCTGAGCAGAACTTAGTGCAGCTTAGGCCATATGAACTCTTTTTTTTTTTTTCCTTTTTTCTTCTAAATATGACTATAGATGGCTTTTGACAAGCAATAGCAGGAGTGCACGTTCAACCCTGTAGAAAGGTGGAGGCAATGAGGTCTGTTCCGGTATCTGGGCCAGCATTTTTGTGGCTGTTTCTGAGTATGAGAGAAAACAAGTGACCCAGGCAAATTACAGGAAGAACTGGGTTTCCTAGAGGAACTGGGGCTTAGGGAGGAAAATACGTACACGTACTACGCTTCCGGGAACGCTCGCTGCTGTGTGTGCCGAGGCTTTGGGGGCAGCCCGCATCTGCTGCGATGCTATCCGAAAGCCGACGGAAACCCCAAAACCTGCTGAGCTAGCTGGCCTTTCTTGTTACCCACAAACAAGGTGACATCATTTAATCTAGCCCGTGGTGACGTGTCGGAGTTGCCAGCTTCTGCGAGTTGGGCGGGTATGTCTCCCCGCTGCGGGAACCGGCGAAGCGCTGGTCGCTGAACCGAGGGGCTCTCTTGAGTAGGTGGCCTTACTGAAGGTTGCCCCATGGCAGCGGTCTTTTGATTGTATTTTCTATCTATTAAAATGCCTTTCCCATGGTACTTGTTAAAAATTGAAACAGCCTCCTAGGTTAGATGTGAAAATACCATTTTTGATGCAGTAACTTCATTTTTTTGGTAATGAAGTTTGCAGAAGTATAATTGTTCTATTTTTGAAGCTGTACATCTGTCCTTAATATTTTTTTCTATTCTATCTAGTTCTAGAATACCACTTGGATAATTACTACTTAAGGACTCTCCCCTCATTAAATTACCACTGCAAATCATTGACTATGCATAGCAAATACAAAGTTAGCTTAATTTCCTCTTTTTTTTTTTTTTTTTTTTGTTTTGACCGCAGTAGCCTAGTGTGCTGCAGATGAGGAGCAGGAAAGGCAGATTGGTTTTAAAAGCTGGAGCTCAATCCCAAAGTAAACTAAGCTTCCCTCTATCCCTTGGAATAAGGCAATTCTCAGCAAGCTACTTTTCACTCATGTATAAAGACTCTCCTTTTTAATTTCCCTATTGGGAATATTCCGCTGCTTAAGCCTGACCCTTAATTAGGAGCAAAAGCTGTGAATTGCAGCAGTCACTGCAGCTGACTTGGAATTTGCTGTTAGCTGGAGGAGTGTCCAAGGTTTGTTGTATCAGAGCTTTGGACCAGCCCCTGAAATGTGCATGAATGTCAGCTTCCTAGAGTCTACACCCTTATTAGCAACGTTACTAATTGAATGATAGCACAGCATGCAAATTACTGAGATAATCCTGAGCAATAAATACCAGTGTGTCCTTTTCCGGTGGTTTTGATTTTTTAATTTTTTTTTTCTTCCCCTCCTCCCTGCTCTTCCCTTAACCAAAAGCACTAGCTGCAAGGAATACCGTTAAACTTTCTGGATTTTATTTACCATAGCCTCTGTTCCAGAGGGAACGTTTTGAGTGATTTTATACATAGGCTGATTGGGCATCTGATTTGTATAAACTCAAAGCAGTTGAAAGAGAAGCCAAGTTGTCCCAGTGCCTGTGTTGTTTGCAGCTGCAGAATTCCAATATGGGAATGAACGAGCCGTGGTCAAATGCTTTCATGTGGTTTTGTATTGTAGAGTCACAGCCTTGTCTGGTAACATCAGGGCACATGATGAGATGGTGAATTTAGATAAGAGAACTCTTTCATCTGCCCCTTGGGGAGGAGATCCTTCAGTCTGTCTGGCTCCTGTCCGCTTGTCTCTGCTGTAGTGTCCTCCTTTCTGGCAGAGTTGGATCAGGGATAAGTCTACAGCAGAGCACCCTTTGCAGAGCTCTGCAGGACACGTCTTTCCTCTGGGGCTGAGCGTGCTGCTGCAGCCCCCGCAGCCCTGGCTGTCGCAGGGAGCAGAAGGTCAGACCTCCGTCCACTTACTGCTGCCTGGGTTCTCCTCCCAGTTATTGCCATCTGAGCGAGCGGAGGACGAGTCATACCGAGTTTGTTGTCGAATGCTTTTTCTAGTAAACTTTTCCTTTCTCGTTTCTTTTTATAAATGTTTTCTCATTTATTTTAGACCCAGACTGAAAAATGTGGACAGAAGTACCGCACAGCAGCTGGCAGTCACAGTGGGAAATGTCACAGTAATTATCACAGACTTTAAAGAAAAGACTCGCTCCTCTTCCACGTCATCTTCTACAGTGACCTCCAGCGCAGGATCAGAACAACAGAATCAGAGCAGCTCGGGCTCTGAGAGCACAGACAAGGGCTCGTCCCGTTCCTCCACGCCCAAGGGGGACATGTCAGCAGTCAACGACGAATCTTTCTGAAAATTGCACATGGAGTTGTGGAAACTATGAATCAGGGTATGAAATTCAAACACTCCACCTGCCCATGCTTTTCAGATCCTGGAGAGCCTCTTCTGTGCTTGAACACACACTTTCTCGGACATCGACTTCTTACTGATGCAACCAGGATAACTTCGGCTTGCCATGGGCATCTGGCCACCAAGGAATTTCTCACCCTAACGATTACTCTTGACACTTTTATGTATTCCATTGTTTTATATGATTTTCCTAACAATCATTTATAATTGGATGTGCTCCTGAATCTACTTTTTTATAATATCTGCTGTGCACAATTTTCCATGAACATTACAACTTTTTGTTTTGGGGTAGGGAGCGGGTGGGGAGGGAAGGGGGCTTTATTTATTGCATTCACAAACTCCATCCTCTTTCAACATATCCTTTTTAAGTTCAGTTCTTCTTCCAGTTATACTGTGTACTATCAGTTTTGATATAAATTATATATAAATATATATATAAATAAAT